GACAGACACACAATCACACACACAGACACACAGACATGTGCACACACAAACACACATGCACATACACAGAGACACAGACACACACACACATTATGTCGGACATTGATTTTTCACAGACTGCTTCAGGGAAGAGAGAGCTGCAACTGGAAAAACAACATTCATTCTTGTATGGGGTCTTATCCAGGCCTGGGTCAGACAGTGTTCGGATGATTTAAAGCATGATATTGACCATACTTAATGTCCCTTTCCATGCTGGCTTTGGGATTTTTTCCTTAGGAGAAATTACACTGCCTTGTGTTTGGTGCCAGTCAACAAACACCCACTGGGTGCCCACTGGAGCTCTCAAGGCCCAAGACTGCTATTTGTAGAATGCTTGGCTCTCAGTCCCACGAGTGACAAAATTCACTTGAGCAGCATTTTCCTTAGTGATAGATATGTGCTTGGCTGGCTAAAAGTCACACTCACTGAGGGTCACAATGAGGTCTTTCCAGAACCATCCCTGTCTGTCACGAGTCTGGACACACAGCCTCACTGTGGGTGTGGTGGCTCTCAGGCTGTAAAAATTGTTACCCTGGCAGATGCTGTTCTTCTAGATCAAACATGGACCTTGTTTGGAGTCCCTAGATGTCTTTACAGTACCTGAAAAAGGATATGATCTCCAGGAGACTCTCAGAAACAGTGGCTTCTCCCTCCATTGTGACCTTCGGCCCTGGTGCTGCTGGGAAACACAGAGATGTTGGCAACAACAGCATGTTTTTCTTGCCACAGGAATCCAGGGCTTCCTAGAATTAGTGTCTCTTCACACACACTTTAGGATCCCAGTTCAACTTTGAGCTGGGTATTGATTTTAACCCACAGCAAGGGGTGGAGGGGCCCCAGAACCAGAGCTCATAGCTCCTGTGGCACCACCTCCCCTACCCCACAGGTGCCACCATACTCCTTAGATGGAGGGGAGGGGGGACAGCCTAATGCTCACATAACCCCAAGCTGGAACCGCAGGCTCCTTCATCCCTACACTGAAGATGGTTAAGGACCGCCTCTCTCTGCGTAACTGGCCCATCCATTTTGCTACTGTCGGGACCTGTTGGTCAAACAATGGCTCATTTCGGTGACCCAGGCTTCATCTGGTTGGTTGAGCTACATGGAGCCAGTGTTCTAACCCAAAACACACCCTTCCAAGGAGAAAGTAACAGGACTGTTATTTTAATTTATCTTTTTCTGGCCCAGGGAGCTGGATCAGCAGGTAAAAATGCCTACTGCCAAGCCTGACATCCTAAGTCTGATTCCAGGGGTCTTACATAGTAGAATTCGAGAACCATCATCCACCAATTGTCCTCTGACTTCCACATGTGCACTGTGTCATGTGTGCCTACACACACACACACACACACACACACACACAGTGTGAATTTTAAATTGACTGCTCTCTTTCCATTATAATAATATCAATAAGTTCATTATAATATGCTAGAAAAATAAAACCCAGTAACCTCTAGTTCTTTGGCCAAGAGACAAGGATCATGAGCATCTCAGTGAAGTCCGTTCAGTTCTTTTTGCTCTGTAAACATTTTGTAATACATAACTAGAGGGCTGCAGAGGCGGGTCAGCAGCTCAGAGCACTGGCTGCTCTTCCAGAGGACCCAAGCTTGGTTCCCAGCATCCACATCAGGTGGCTCTAGGGGATCTGGTGCCTCTGGATTTCTCAGGCACCTGCACCTCTGTCATGTATGTAGACATGTTCCCCACACATAAAAAAATAAAAGTATTTTAATAACTCAAATTCTATACATATGTACATATATACTATATGTATAATATATATTATATATATATGGTAATATACTGGTGAGCCACTTCTCTAGGGGAAAAATTGAAGTTTGTAGCACTTGCCAATTTCTTGTGGTGTAAATGTCCCCACCGCCAGTTGCAGGCTGATAGCAGCACTGCACACAGAGTTGGGATGAGAGCTGATGGCCACAGGCCAGCACATCTGGACCAGCACAAGCCAGCTCCACTCTCATGTCTGCTAGTGGGAAAACTTAACGAGGGAAAGGGGTCGTTTTTTGCTCAAAGATTCAAGTTTCAGTCAGGATCGCTTGGCCCTGCTGCCTGGAGCCTGTGGCAGCTCAGGGTATCATGATGGGACTGTGGGGTGATCTGTTCACCCCACAATAGCCAAAAACAGAGAGATCGGAGGTGGCAGACCCAATAGACCCCAATGACGTCACTTCCTCCCACTGGGCTCCCTGGCTCAAAGGTGGTGCCATCGCCCCGCCCCCACTAATTGTAACAGACTGAACCCCAAGCCCTCTCCACTGGGACCTTTGAGGGACATTTTATAAACTGCAGCAATATTATAAATTTTAAATGTTTATTTTTTTCTGATCTTAGAACTGGTATTTACTTATATTGATAATGCACAAAACACAAACATAAAAGGGAAATATTAAATTCACCCAGAGTCCAGCTCCTCTCTGTTTGGAATGGTCCATGCCCAGTATCCTGACACGTGTCCCGGTAGTTCCCTGCCCAAGACAGACACACACAGCACCTTCTAGAGAGTTCAAAGGGTTTTATTGGAGAAAACAGATTAAACACACTCACATCCCTGACAGTTCACCTTTGCAGAAATAATTTTGGAAAATGCCTTCCTTGTCAAGTTTCTTCTCTGTGTGGTTTTCCCACAGGATTTGGGTCAATTCAAATTTCCTCACTTTTAGGGACTCTTGTGCACCGATGAAGTATTTAAAATTTGGTTAGCTTTTAAAGAGGCAAAAGTAATCTTCCTGGCTCTGTGTGTGTGTGTGTGTGTGTGTGTGTGTGTGTGTGTGTGTGTG